CCAGCCATCCTGCAGCCACACGTGCCGACTGCCGCGCGACTGCTGACTCTTAACTGCTCATGCTGCCTCACGACTTGTGAGTGCTGCTGATGCTTTTGAGATTAATTCAAAATGAAATTTGAGATTTTGACAGACACGCACGCCGACATGGCTGGATGTACCCGTACCCGTACGAGAGGCGCGTCAAACTGACCACCCCACCAGAATTTTTGGCAGTCAAGTTCTGCATGTCATCATCAGCTGCGAATTACGAACACGGCGCTTCATTGGCATGGTCTGCCTCTATCGGATTGAGTCTGCTGCGAAATAAGCATTCGTGTGACTGGTTGCAACCCCCTTCACTCGCTTTACATCTTTCAACTTTGACGATTGTCGACGAGACAAGATCCGCCCAGCTGCAAGCACCATCTTTGGCCCCAAAAACAGTCAAAACAGTCGAGATGGAATACCAACCTGTTCGCCGAGCGGGCACAGCTCGCACGAGGCCAACACAGGTCAAGCATTCAGATTCGGCCTACTACAAACGATTCACGCGCACCTCGTTCGTTCGCGAGTATGCACCCGTCACTTCCATCTCCTTTGTCCCTATCTCTGCATTCTCCTCCTCCACAGCCGATGACGCGCAGGCGGAAGCTTCGAGTAGCGGTAGCAGCAAGGCACCATTGAAGTCCAGCGAGAGGAGCAAATTTTTGGTCACTGCTGGTTCTAGAGTGCAGATTTACGCATCGAGCGGGAAGTTGCAACGGACTGTAGGCAGATTCTCGGATGTCGCTAGAGGGGCTACGTGGAGAGCGGACGGAAGACTGTTTGTAGCTGGGGATGATAGCGGAACGGTCCAGGTGAGCGTCCTGCAGCACTGTGCACTCACTCTGCAGCGCACTGCTCGTAAGCGGAGCAGTAGCTCACAGGCACGTATTGATGCCCCTTCAATCCACAACAGGTCTTCGACGCAAATTCCCGATCCATCCTCAGAACACTGAAAGGTCACAAGCATCCTGTGCACGTGTCAAAGTTCTCTTCAGACTCGGGCACGATTCTAACAGCATCGGATGACCGGACGCTCAAGCTTTGGGATGTAGCCACTCAATCTTGCACGCGCACCTTGAGAGGCCATTCAGACTACATTCGCACCGCAGTGGTCAGTCCTGACAACCCCGCATTGGTGCTGAGTGGAGGCTATGATGGAAGCATTCGTCTTTGGGACACGAGACTGGGCAGGAGAAGGCCCCCAACTACGGATGGCGATACGATGGATTTGGACCCGCACGGCGATGCGTCGGAGGGCAGCGACGCGTGTGTCATGACAATGAAGCATGGCGCACCAGTGGAATCCTCTCTCATCTACCCTACCGGAGGAGGAGGCATTGCGCTCTCAGCAGGTGGACCCTCTCTTCGGGTCTGGGATCTCATGATGGGTGGTAGATGCCTCAGAGCTGTTTCCAATCACAGCAAGACGATCACTTCCTTGGCTCTGTCAACCGGCAGCGATGCTGATTTCCGATCATCGTTGCAAGATACGGATACTGCGCACGAACTTGCCGCTTCAAGCGGCAGCCCGCAGTCCCTAAGGCTGCTCTCTGCAGGACTGGATGGACTCGTGAAAGTGTACGATCCAGCAAGGGACTATGCCGTCACGCATACGATGCGGTATCCTTCTCCCCTACTGAGTCTAGCTGTCTCCGCCGACGACACGGTCTTTGCGACAGGTGCGGCCGATGGCACTCTATGCGTCCGCAGTCGTATCCTCAAGAAGGGTGAAGCAATGGCCAGAACTGCGCACCACCAGCAGGCCGCGCAGGGAACCCACAAAGTGTTCATGGATGCGCTGTCCTCCGCTGGCGCTCAGACCGCTAGCGCAATGGATGTCGCTGCGACAGTGCGGACAAAGAAGCTAAAAGCGTACGATGACATGCTGAGACAATTCAGGTACGCGGACGCTCTGGATGCTGCTTTGAAGGCCAATGTTCCGCCAGAAGTTACGCTTGGAGTGTTGGCGGAGCTTAGACGCCGATCTAGTGCCGACGGAACAGAGGATGGACTCAGAAGAGGGCTCTGTGGAAGAGACGAGGAGGGGCTTATCAAGGTGTTGAAGTTCTGCTTGAGACATGCGGGCAACCCCGAGCACGTCAACATCATTTCGGACACTCTCGACCGAGTCATTGGTCAGTGCCATCGTCCCAGCGTTGCTTTCGTGCGCTGCCAAGTGGAGCTAAAGGAAGAGAGATCTCTTCTTTGCAGACATCTACGCCCCTATCCTTGGCCAGTCGCCTCAGATTGACGACCTGTTCGGTCGGTTATGGTCGAAAGTCTCCGACGAAGTGCGCGTTCAGAGAGATGTTGCCAAAATCAGAGGCGCCCTCGACATGATTGTCGCCCGGTCTACACTTGGCTCGGCCGTCACCGCTTGATCAGGACGAGAATACATACATGCACGCACCGTCTCAGGCATGCATCTTGCTCGGTTCCAGGGCTTCGCGGTTCTCAGCAAGGCACATGCCCAAAATGTGCGCTCTAAGGGAAAGTCTCTCTAGGCCGTCATTGGGGAAGCCGCGCTGCATGCGCTTGACGCGGAAAAGCCTGAGAAACCAGGTAAGCAGATGATCTTCAACTTGCTGATGACAAGTCTGGGACAGTGGCCGTTGGTCGTTCGCCGTGCTCGACGTGGATTGGAAGGTAGGCCAGGCGGCTCTAACGAAAGTAACGCGCTCGCTCACCCGGGCTCGCGCACCCACCGCATCGGCCGTTCTTCAACGAGGACCAGTCACGCGGTACGATGGCTTTTCATTGACCGGGGACACAATTTCCGGCCAACACTTAGGCCCAAAGGGCCTCGTTGTCTGACGACATCCTTTCTTTTCGGCTTCACGCAGGAGTCAGGTTCAGGGACCTCGTACGCAGGGGTCACAGGAACTCATAAAGATACGAAATGAAGATCGACCTGCCAGATGTAGATCCGTAGATCCAGGCGCAGGTCAACGGACACGGGACCTGCACGTGCACGTGCATGCGCGCACGCGCACGCGCACGCGCCTGCCTGCTTGCTCACCGGTGAAGAGTCCGGTGAAGAGTGGAGGTGACTTCTCGGCCCCTCTCTTTTCCTTCCTCGACGCTCAACTCGCCCCTCGCCAGGAGCTTTGCTAGCCCACGAATCGGTCATTTTCGTCAACGAACAGAATTTGATGAGGCGTCAACAACCCCGCGTTGGCCGTCGGCTTGCGCTGCACCCAGGCACGCACGATGCGTGGTTGCGCCAGCAACAGCACGGTGTCACCGGTTGCCTGCCTCAACGGTCGTTGGCGGTGCATGAGGATCTGTTCGAATGTCTCACAATGTTGGTGTGATATCGCGTTGCGCATCAGCGAAACGTTTTGCGCACCATTGATAGACCGTCTCGGACTAGGCACCAACAAGCCTTCTGACCACGATCTAGCTCTGCGAACTTCCCACCTTTGCTTTAGCAATAGCCTCATCGTACCCCAAGCCTCTCCACCTTGTGTGACCGCTCTCCTCTCTTACCTTACCCTGCTCTGCTCTCATCAACAGTATCACCTCGATCTCGCCGCCTTCGACTTCCACAGTTGCTGGCCAGTCAGTCTCGTACAGTCGCAATGCCGCCGGAACCTTCTCCCACGCACGCCGGATTCGGCAGCCTTATCGCCGACATTGACAACACTCTACTGGACCTGATGAACAGCGCTCCGACTCCTCCACCTCGCTCACCAGTCTTCGAGCCGACGGATGCTTGCGGAGCCGACTTTCGTCTTTGCCCAAAACCAAATTCGACCCTGTTCGTCGCTCAAGCAACCGAACCAGCTTGGCAATCTTCCGAGGACACAGCCAGCCTGGGCTACCGCCATTTCGTTGGACCAGAGCCAGTGCATTTGCAAGGCGAGATGAAATCAGCCAACTTCTCCCGTCCACGCCCCATTGGCGCCAGCGCCCCCCCAATGAGCGACTGCAGCCCTTCGTCACCTTCGAAGTCGTGGCACTGGAGCTTGGTAGCCGGGTCCGAGCAGCAGGAGATTCCCAAGTCAGATGGTGGCCGCCGCTCCTCCTTCGTACCAAAGCCACTTAACCTGGTAACTCTCGCATCCCAACGTTCGACCCAAGTGACACCTGGAAATAGCGTGCCAGCTTCTGCTCGTGCATCCAGGGCTCAAGTTCAACGTGGCAGTATCGGGTATCGATTCTCGACCCTCAGCACTACTCCTCGTCAACTTCCCACTCCCGTCGACACAGGCGCGCCTGTAACCATTGGTCTTGGCTTGGACCTGGGAGAAAGTTCGAGCCACGCACCATGTGATTACGAGTTCAAGACCGTCGCCCCCTTATCCCTGCGTCGTGATCAAGAGAAGCTGCAGCCGAAGATGCAAGAGCCAGTAAGTGTACCTGGTCTATTCTAGCCTCGGCGACGAGAGCAAGGTGCTGATACTTCTACTTTCGTTTTAGGCTGTCAGCCGTGCGGAGCTTTACCGTCGCAGGAGGGAGGGCATCAAATTGGTTGCGCGGGATGAGTGTGTGAGTATGAGACATCAGGCAGGAACCTCTTCAGCCTGGCGGTCGAGCACGGCGACGGCCGCTGACTTTCTTCGCAACCTCAACCCGACAGGTCACGACGCTCACTCTACTGCCATTACCACCCAAGAGTGACCACGCTTCGCCTACCATGCCAACAAAATCGCTAGGCTTCGTGCAGGGCCGTGTAGCTGGTCCCTATTCGTTTGTCAGAAACCCTTCTCCAAACTGGCCTGAGTCGCCTTATTCCGAGCCGGCATTCACGCCCTTGCAATCCGCCCGAAGTTGCTCAACCGGTGCGACCTCACTCGAAGCGATTCCGGAAGTCAGCATTGGCACCAGCATGGTTAAATACGATGACAAACGACGCTCCCCAACACCAGTGGAACCTGCTTCGCCCACTCTCGTCAGCCCGATGGTTCAACCCGCTTCTTACCCTGCGCCGATCGCTCCGGCGAGAGCTTCTAAGGGAGAAGACCAATCTCGCTCCTCAAGCAGGGCAGGGAGCTCGAAATGTGTGCATCCCGCGAGCATGAGGTGCCTTGCTGGGTGTGATCCTATCGCCAATCCTCCCTCGCCCCTCCTCATCGATGTCACCCCAGCGCCGATGGTTGCGGAGCCGAAGTTCCGTACGAAGCTCAGCAGCATCCTCAAACTTCCCAAATCGCGCACAAGCAATCCGTCGTCCTCAATGGACGAGTTGCAAAAAGGCGCGCCTCGCAGCCTGAGTGGGTCAAATCGTCTAGTGCCCAACATGGGATCATCATACGACGAGGCAATGCACCGCAAAATCAAGATGTCGGACGACGCTCGGGCCTCGAAAGCTTCTTGGGCCACCAAGTTCAAGCGAGCGACGCGTTCCCTGATGAATTTTGGTCGCGCACACGACCCCTCGCGCTCGATCGAAGAGCCACAAGCTACGTCGCTCGACTCCAACTTTGACGGCATCTCTGTCGCTGCTAAGCGTGCGGGATGGATAGGTCCACGCTCCCTTGCGGCGGTTACAGCAGCAAAATCCCAAGAGCCATCGGTGGCTGTCTCGACAATGGCAGAGCCGCTCAGTCCCAACGTGCCGTCCTCGCCAGATGTTGATGACGACACCACCGCTGGATATGACGCCACTTCGTTACCTGCTACTACAGCAGTTGCAGGATCACCAGAGCCACCAGTGACCGGTTTGACGATGGTAGAGCCGGCCAGTCTTTCCGTGCAGTGTACACTGGACGTTGATGAAGGCAGGACGTCCAGGCGTGACGCTACTTCGACCCGAGGCGAGCACACCGTAATTGGCAGCTTAGCGCCGACGGAGTCCGTCCTCGTTGGTCTAGCGTCCGGTCCTGAAGCGACAACGTCCAGG